TTTATACTCACTCTCTGTTTTCTATTCATTAGCCAGTTTTTGATCCATAAAAGGACTTGTCCTTTTATCCCATGATTTTTGAGCTTACTTAGGAGCCTTTGATGAGGAACTTTATCAAAAGCTTTCTGGAAGTCAAGGTAAACAATATCTATTGGACCCCCCTTGTCCACATGTTTGTTCACCCCCTCAGAGAACACTAACAGGTTAGTGAGACAAGATCTTCCCTTACAGAACCCATGCCTCAATAGGTTTTGTTCATCTATGTGCCTACTAATTCTTTCCTTAATAATGTTTTCCACCAATTTACCCGGTATCGATGTCAGACTGACTGGCCTGTAATTTCCCGGATCTCTGGAACCCTTTTTAAAGATGGGAGTGACATTAGCTACCTTACAGTCCTCAGGAATGGAGGCAGATTTTAAGGAAAGATTACATATTTTTGTCAGGAGATCCAAAAGTTCACATTTGAGTTCTTTCAGAACTCTCGGATGTATGCCATCTGGGCCTGGTGATTTATCAGTTTTTAAGTTGTTTATCAGTTTTAGGACCTCCTCTATTGTCATCTCAATCTGACTCAGGTCTTTCAACACCCCTCCTGAAATCAGTGGTTCTGGAGTGGGCAAGCACTTCTCATCTTCCACAGTGAAGACAGAGGCAAAAAATGCATTTAGCTTCTCAGCCATTTCCCTATCATCCTTCAGTACTCCTTTTACCCCTTGGTCATCCAAGGGCCCCACTGCCTCCCTGGCTGGTTTCCTGCTTCTAATGGCCAGTGGTCCTCTCTAACCAACTGTGGCACTTTAAAAAGCATAGAGCTGTTTGAGTTGTGCTACCTGAATTCCTTTAATTAGATTGGAACTGGAATCTTGTGCACGCAAAGCCTGTGTTCTGCCACTGAAATGTGGCCTCTCTTTGTGAGTGTGCTTGAGAAGACTGCTTTATTTCAATGGGAGTACTTTTTATTAAAAGAACTAACCCAAGATATAAAATTATAGTGAAACACAAGTGAGAACTTTAATGCTGTATAATCTGAGTTCTGATTAGCCTATAAGTAGTGCAATGGTTCTGCTTTGCATGACATTTATATTGATGCAATCAATGTCATGCAGCTGTGGTAGAAGAAAATTGGGATTTAAGAAAATAGCTTGCTTATTTGCCCTGCCTTGATTTTTCTTTAAAAGTGCTGACAGCTGCAAAGGTCAATATTGGACTCATACCTTTATTTGCTGAAAATGATTTATTTGTTGCCTTTTCAATAAATTGCTCAAGGCATCATATAAACAGACCACAAAATCTGAAATAAAAACTGTAATGACAGAAGTCTAGTTGCTACATATTTAGAAGTTGTCTTGACTGGTTGTATGAGAGAACTATAACATTTCTCTCAGTTTGTTTCATCGAACTCTTTACAAATGGTACATCCTTTGATTTTGTACATGAATATGCTGTACTGCTCTTTAGTATCTGCTACTTGGTCTCAGCTTAGCTGAGTATGTGAGTAACTACTTTATTTCAGTGATCCTTATTTTATTGCCATTATTTACAGTCTGCCTGTCTCACTGAGACTTGAGGCGGATTACATAATGTAAGCCACTACATTCAATAGGATCAGAAGATGTGAAAAATGTGGAATTTGCCATCAGAAGATGTAGTGATGGCCATGGGCTTTAAAAGGGAATTAGTCAGATTCATGGAGATCTATCAGTGGCTACTAGCCATGTTGACTAAAGGGAACCTCCATGTTCAGAGGCAGTCAGCCTTTGAATTCCAGTGCCAGGAGGCAACATCAGGGGAAGGACTCAGTTTCTATGCCCTATTGTTGGCCCTCCAGAGGAACTGGTTGGCCACTGTGCAAGACAAGATGCTGGACCTGATGGACCACTGGTCCAATCCAGTGGGGCTCTTCTTATTTTCTTCTAATAAACAACGGAATAGGACTCTCTCTCTCTCTGTGTGTGTGTGTGTGTGTGTGTGTGTGTGTAAAAAGTTCCATCAAGTCACAGCTGACTTACGGCTACCCCATGGGGTTTTCAAGGTGGGACATTCAGAGGTGGTTTGCCATTGCCTGTCTCTATGTAGTGTCTAGGGGTGTGCAGGGTTTTTTTTTACCAGTATTTTTCAGTTCAGGTCTATTGGACCCCCAAAAAATTTGGGACTCCTAAAAAATCCCAGATCCAAATACTTGTATGATCTTTGGCTCTGGAAGTTTTTGGAAAACCCAAGATTTTTGAGGTCCTATAGACCAGTACTGAAAAATGTCAGTGACAAAATAACAGCCCGATCCTGGGGCTGGCTTGGGTTTTCCTGCAGCCTGGTTTAAACCAAGCTGCAGGAGAAGGAAGCGCAGAGCTGCACCTACAGGGAGCTCTCGGCTCCCCGCGAGCACAGGATCCCAGCTGGGCTGATCTCTCCTGCAACCTGGTTTAAACTGGGTGTCGAGAAGGCAGCACAGAGCTGCACCAGCGGGGAGCTCTTAACTCCCCACCGACCCAGCTCCCTGCCACCCCAGCTGATCCTCGGGCTGACTTCTGCAGTCCCTTTAAAATTTAAAGGGACTGCATAAGCCTGCCTGACAAACAGCTGAGAGGCAGGAAGGATCTGCTCTCCGCTTTTTTCAGATCTTCCTGAAATGTCCAAATATATCTGGGATTTTCTAGGGTCCCCCCCCCCCAAGAAAACCAGATACATTTGGGAAGATAAAAAATACCTGGAAAAAAAAGATAAGGTATATTTTGCAGCTCAGGTAGATACGCATGTACACCAGTAGTGACTCTGGGCTTCCTTGTTGGTCTCCCTTCCAAACCATCCCTGTTTTGGTTCTGAGATCAGGCTTGCCCAGTCCACCCAGGTCAGGGCAAGAATAGGACTAGGACTGCAGAAATCTGAAACAAGGCATAACCATTAAACGTGACATGTTAAACAATGCAATAAGTGATATTTAGAAATATAACAAGGGGTGGACCCGC